ACCTCATAGCCACAATTGCATATTCTTTCTTATCTAATTTTACAACAGAAAAAAAATAGAAAAAGAAAAAAAAAAAAAAAAGGGGAGGGGGGGGGGGGGGGGGGGGGGGGGGGGGGGGGGAATAGTGAACTTGATTCAAAAATCGAAATGATTGCCAAAAATAGAAATATTATCATTCAAAATCATCATACGGCACAGCAATTTTATTATCATCAACTTAATTATTAAAATAGCCAAGATGAATATAATTTACGCACTTTATTAAATGGTTTCGGATATAAAAAAGGCATCCTGGAGATGAGGAATAATTTGCTAATTTATTACTTTCCTAAAATATTCTGCAGATAATTTCAAATGGAAGTGAAGAAAATTCTCTTTTGAAAAGTTAACTATGATTATAATTGAATTAAATAGAAACTACATGTATATCTCGCATCTATTAACGGATATCAGTCTCCGAAAATCACAAGGCATGCGTTTAATTCTTATGTTTAGTTTGACAAATTTGAATTATTTTGGGAAAAATATGATATTTGTGTGATCATGCGCCTTCTGAAAAGATAAAATAACAATAAGAATTTTAAGAAATTTAGTAAAAATATTGAAATTAGTTTCAGAAAGCTAGGAGAAATACTATGTTTCAAATTCTCACTTAAAAAAAATTACAAAGTATTATTAGAAATAAAAGATAAATATAAATTTAATTAAATGGCGGATATAAAAATTTTTGCGGCGAGGCTTTGGCGTAATTTCTTTAATATCATATGACGTCAAGAACTTTGTTTCTACATGTATATTAATTACCTAATATATCTCTCAAAGAACAATCGGTGACTTTAACATATATGAGAAATTCGAAAATAAACATGTGTCTATATAATCACATCATATACATGTTGTCACTTTTTTGCCGATCCTGAGGACTTGAATTAATAATTTCTGCATATTTTTTTCGTTTTTTATAACTTGTTCATCCTGTACACACACATATATTTAATCCTACATTATGTCATTGTTCATAAAGTAATCTCGATGACGCATTTTGATAAATAAATTGTTTACTTTTTTACTTATGAACGCACTAATTTGACCAACAATTAATTTCGCGTAGTTGAATTTTGTTGCAGATTGATTATTCCGTCCATTTAATTGTTTTAAAAACGATCTTTTAGGAAATAACAATGCAAATCCAATAACATGATATCATCATAATTATGTATTCTAAAAGGAAAGGTAATACAAATATTTGGAAATTTTTATATTGGGAGATGTGATGGAATTTTAAATTCTATTAGGTTTAGGAAAGAATTGGATTTGAATTTAATCTCTTTACATGTATTTGTCGGATTTTAAAATCCGATCCGATTTTTGTCTTATTGATTAATTACCATAATTCTTTATTTCCATGAATGTTACACATTTTCAAATAAATGACGTATCTGTATATCACATAACGATATCACATATTCATTTGTTCTTTAATTTCAAAAGCGTTCAAATAACAATTTAAAATAGACTTTAAAATAGACTTTAAAATACATAAAATACATAAATAATTTTCGGGTATTAAGAAGATTCAACACATGCTCATTTTGTGATTACTAGAAACACATATTTGAATACACACATAAAATGAATAGCTTGAAAAGTATAAATGGCGCGACTTTTCTTCTCCTTTCATCATCAACTTCCATCAGCAAAACTTTAACGAAAGCGTCCTTTGTATGATATCTCTAAAAAATTAATGGCAAAAACTAAAAGATCGATGCCTTCGGTTCCCAGGGAACGACCCGACACACGAGTCGCCACTAGAGAAGAAGTAAAAGAATTTCTTACAATCTATAAAATCACATCTCCACCATCTTTTGATGAGATCATTAAGGATATGAAAACCGAATTTGTCCAAAACGATGGCCATATAAAAAGACCGCCGAATCCATTTTTAGTTTTTCGTAAAACTGCGAACTTGAGAGCGGTAGAATTGGGCCTCAAATCTATGGAGCAAAATAAGTTTCAAACAAAATTCTCTAAGCTTCTGGGCAGAGTATGGCAAGCTTTATCAAAAGAAGAGAAGGAAGGATATTATAAATTGGCCGAAGAAATAAAGATGAAGCACAAAGAACAATTTCCTCTTTATGAATTCCACCCCAAGAGGGATAAGTCGATATTTAGAATTTATAATCATACGGAAAAAACCGAAGACGATATTGAGGAATCATCTTCTGTCGGATCGATTGACCCACAAGATTTATTAATTTCTTATATGAATTTTTAAAATAATTTATGTATTTATAGCCTAATTGTATAATGTATGTTTAATTTAAGGTAAAGCATGTATATGATTATGGTTAAAATTACTAGAATAAAATAAAAATAGCAATGCATATAGATAGATAAATTGGGGGGGGGGTTAATTATTTATGCTTTATTAAGATATTTATTTTTAATTTTTATCGATTGATTGATATTGATAGGGATGATTATTTTTTACCATTACATTCAAAATATTTGTATATCTATGTTTAACTTAAACGAGTGATTAAAATTAACTATATTTGATAAAAACAATAAAATTTTAATGATTTTATTTTGAGAAATAATTTGTAAGCCCTTTAATTTGAATAAATAAAGCTGAACTAACAAGACACACAATCAAATTGAATAATAAAATCCGTACAATCCAAAGAGAGATTGGCATAATTTTCTTCGAGATACGTACTGCACTGTATTCATTATTCTATGAAACAATTACATGTAGCCGGAAAATTGTGACTGGTTCACACAGTGCATGTAGATACATAAAACGCATCGATACTTAAATTCTTGGCGCCATCTTTCTGTAAATATATCATCAATGGTGTAGTACATGTACGTGGTCATAAGATCCGGAATTTTTGATTCTGTGCACAAAACGTTACCAATGATCAATTAACTATTCCAAAGGACAAAATAATGAGAACTTGCATCCTGAAAAAATATTACAGTAATTTAATTATGTAGATATTTGAACAACATGGTTCGAAGACCAATTCTGCTCATATTATATTAATTTTAAACTACATGTACTATAAAATTCCTTATCTCTCCGGGCCGAACGCAGTTTCGTTTCCAACAGGACAACTCACAAAGCAAGTGAAATAACCGATCTTTTTGAAAGTCAGGGCGTTCGAATTCTGACTGGCCTTCTACTTATCAGATACAAACTCCATCGAAAATCTGTAGGCGATACTAAAGGGTAAAAGTGGAAAAAAATTAACTATTATGGATAATTTAAAAAAAAAAAACTTTCAACGGATGAATTTCAAATGATAATTCGTCAGGAATGAGCGTATTTGAGCGAAGACTTGGCGAGGAGCATGAAAGATCGCGTTTTGGAGGAAGGGAAAAAGAATAGATTATTAAAATTTTAGTAACCAGTAACTGGCAATGTATATATGAAATTTTTAAGCACATAAAAAATTAAATTTTTACCTGTAAGGTTGAATTCCGAATAATTATGATGACCATTGTAATTCATCGCAAGGTAATTCAATTAAAAATTAAATTTATGTTTATGATATAGATTATTCTGAATGATTAACTCATTATTTTTAACGCATAAATTCTATGAAGTTTTTTAACTAAGAAGTAAATTCAAAATTTAATCCATGAATATGATAGAATAAGTCTTGTCAACTCATATTTATGGATTAAATTTTGAATTTACTATTTAGTTAAAGAAGTTTTTATAAAATACAAATATTTGATGACTTTAAATGTTATGCATCATCATATGCCAGAATTAGCTAAGAGAGCAATAAAAATTTTCGAGAAAGCTTTTTCATTTCGTTAAAAGTTTGAATCTAACGGCTATCGATTAAGATGTTTAACACAAGATCAATGAAAGAGTAAAAGCCCAATATGATCTTGCACTCTGTTATCAAGACGGCGGCGAATAAATTAAAAACGAAATTTGAGTACAACTGCCATTCGAAAAATTAATACAAGTGTAACTTGTAACGGTAATTTTCCATTACACATAATGTTTAAGTGTAGTGTAACTGTTGTTTCCATTCTATACAAGAAGTTTTATGCAGGCAGATAAACGTTACTGGTTTGTGGAAATGGAAGGTTGCTCTAGAAATTGGGAATAAGCAAGAATTTCTTTTAAAAATTTGGAATTTTTCATTAAATAACAAGGTAATTGTTTGGTAAGGATTTGTTACGATAATAGAACCCAAAAGTTCCTATTGTTTGAAAAAAAATTTTCCTTATAGAAAATTTTAAAACTTCTAGAATTCGTAATATACAATTTGAACGAATGAAAACAAGGAATTCGTATTGTTGGTTTTGTGCACTTAGACTATGTTTTCTGATAAAAAACCGGATTTTAAATATTACTTATGTCACTTATCATATTTTAAATTATACGTAGTAAGATCGAAACTGAAACTATTAATTCAGGATCCGATAATATATCTACTATTCTAACAGGAAGATTCTTTCTTAAACGTGAAATGGATGCCATATGAAGATTCGTCTTTCGATTCAAAAAATTCTTGCTTGTTTCAAGCACGAATGGGAAGATAATGTTATCCTAGAATTGAGAAGATTGACATGTTTGAAACTTTACAATAAGATAATTGCTAAGTTTGCAAGTTATTGTTTAGTTCAAAGTTTCATGATAATCGGAAACATATTCCGCGTCTTTTTGAAAATACAAATGCGTTTTCAGAAATCAGAAACTCTAGATAAAGTAATCTGGTCAAGAAGAAATATAAATTAACTTTTAGCTCTATGCACAATTTATTGTAAGCTTCATCTAAAATAAATACACTTTTATGCTTATTTTCACACAAATTCTAAATTTTTGTCAGCTTTTGCCCATATATTATGATACAGAAATCACTTCATATTAATATCGAATTTGCGGTCATAACTCTAATTCAAACTTAAAAATGGAACGAAAACTAAAGATAATAAATTTTCATCTGAAAATAATACCAATTTATTTAGAGTTTTCCATCTGAAATAATATTTCTCAACTTTCGATTGGATAGTAAAAAAATAGAAGTAAAATCAAAAGAATGCGCTATTCAAAGCGAAAAATGCAGGCTTATTGCTTTATCCAATTTTGATCCAAGGCGGAAGGTCTTGTTTTTGTCTCCAAAATGAGATTGATTTCATTACAAAATTTATCATTTTTGCTTTCCCGGATCGCTCTCTCTTATTTTGAGTTAATTAAGAGCAATTAATTTGTTTTATTAACATATACAGTCTTACTCAATTTGTGCTGAATCTGGAGATTTTTCATTCTTTAAGGTTCACAAATGTTTTACTAACATAATAGCCTTACTTATTTATGCTGCACAAATTAACCACCTTTAAAATTACCACTCTTAGAAAAGCAGAATTGGATAATTATAGAGAGGGTGAATAAAAAAGTACATTTTAAATATAATCACTTAATAACCGGAAAAACTCACATAGAAGAGGTGATAATAATTATAGAGATTTTAATTGTTATGTATATTACATAACTTATTAATAGGCTGGATTTATAAATTCAATAAATAATTCTATACATATTATAATAAATCTTTCTTGATAATATTCATAAATTAAATCTTGAATTTACTTTTAATTAAGAAGTTTATTGATTATAATTATAATAATTAAATTAAATAAATATTAAAAATCAAATATATTTTAATCATAAGAATTGCTTCAATAAAATAAATTTAAGAAAAGAAATATTTCTATAATTATAACTTTAAAAAAGTAAAATTAAATAATTATAATTATTCAATTTGAATTTTAAATATTAAATAATAATAAAATGATTATTTATCAATTTATAATAATTATAAAAAGTCTAATTATATTATTATAATAACATAATATATTTGATATTTCTAAAAATTAAATTAAACTGTAATTTGGTTTAAAACTTTGAATCAAAAAATTAATCTAATTTGCATTTGATTTAATATAAGTTTAAAAACTTTTAATAAAGATAAAATAAATTTTTAATTATAAAATAATATAAATATTAATATAAATATTTAATATAATTAATTTATATTTTTCTTGATAATTTGTTGAATAATAAAAATTATGAAAATTTATAAAATATTCTTTAAAATTCTGAAATAATATTATATAAAATTATAAATTTTAATAATATATTATTATATTTTTAAATTTTATATCAAATTATAATTTGCAAAAAAATATAATACATATAGTAATAATTAAAATAATATATTAGAGATTAAATTTATTAATAAAATATAATAAAAATTAAAATTTCTCTCTATATTAAAATTTATAAGTTTATTGCGAAATAATTTTTATTTTTATATTAAAATAAAGTTTATTAATTATAGTTTAATATATATTTTTTCAGATTTTCAAGATTTTTTTGAAGAAATAATTCCAATTATAAAATTAATACAAAAAATTTTATTAATTAAATTTTATTTTTAATAAAAAAACTAAATATATATTAAACTATAATTAATAAACTTTAAAAATAAAATTATTTCTTAATAAAATTAAATATTTTAATATAAATAGAAAATTTTAATTTTTAAAATAATTTATTAATAAATTTAGTTCTTGATATATTATTTTTAATTATTATTATAAAAATTATTTAAAATAATAATTAATAATTTAAAAATTATTTTAAAAAATATATTTTATTTTATTTAATAAATATTTATATTTTAAAAAATCTATTTTATTTTATTTAATAAATATTAATAAAATTATTATAAGATTTAATAATTAAATATCTTTTTTATAATATAATAATTAAAAATTATTAATAATATTAAATCAAAATAAATATAATATAATAAATTACATAATTAATTTAAAATAATTATATAATATATTATAAAATTATTTATTAAAATAAAATTAATTATTAATATATAATTATTTCAAAATTTAGATAAATATTAAAAAAAGTAATAATTTCTTAAATTATTAAATTTAATATTCTAATTATATATTATGTATTAAAATATTATAAAAGTATATTTAATTAAAATTTAAAATATTAAATTTAATTCTTTAATATATAATTAGTTTTATTATAAAAAAATAAAGCCATAATAATATTTAAAATTAATATATTAAAAATTAAAATTTATTAATAAAATATATAAAAATTAAAATTTTTAAAATTTATAATCTTATTAAGAAATATTTTTATTTTTATATTAAAATAAAGAATATTAATTATAATTTAATATTTTCTTTTAGATTTTTCAAAAATTTTATTAATTAAATTTTAATTTTAATTAATAAAAATTTTTAATTTAACTTTATAATTAAAATAATAATTTTAGAAAAATTAAAAA